CCGCTTCTGTGCTGTCCCCCTCCACCCTCCCAAACATGATGTCCCTCTCCAAGGACCTGTCTCTCCTTACAACATGTCTAAAGTATGTCAGACGAATCCCCAGAATCCTTGTCTCCAAGGAGTAGCCTGGTTTAACCCTCTCCAGGATGAATCTGTTTGTTTTCTTCAATAAAATAAAATTTAAAAAAAGAAAAAACTGTGGCATCAAGATTGGAGGAAAACTGATCAACAACCTTAATATAGAGATGACACAACTTTGTTCAAAGGAAGGACTAAAAAAAAAAAAACTTGCTGTATGTCAAAGACTATAGCTTCCAATATGGTTTACATCTCAATATTAAGAACACAAAAATCTTTACTACTGGGCCAATAGGCACATAATGATGTTGTTGCTATGTGCAGTCAAACTGATTACAACGCATAGCAACTCTATGAACAATATCTCTGAAACTTGTCCTTTCCTGAGCCAACCTCATCATCTCCAACACATCTGAAAACCTTTGTGATAGCCATTGTATTAATCAATCTTATAGTGTCTTCCTCTCTTTCTGTGATCCTCCAAACATCATGCTCTTCTCTAATGGTAGACACTTCCTAACAGCATGCCCAAAGTATGTGAGTGAGTTTAACCATCTCTATGTCAAAGGAGTTTCACTTTATCTAGGATAGCCTTGTTTGTTCTTTTGGCAGTCCATTTAAGTTCAATGTTCTCCAACACCACAACTCAAAGGCATCAAACGTCTTCTGTCATCCTTAGTCACCGTCCAGTTTTCAAATGCATAGCAAGCAATGAGAAAGCCATGTCTTGGATCAATTTCACCTTTAGTCTGTATATTAACATCACTGCTCTTTAGCACTCTGGCATTGTCCCTGAAGGCAGGTTTTCCCATCTAGTTTTTTGGTTTCCTGAATGTTGGTGCCAAGGACATCGATGTGGATACAAGAAATCATACAGATTACAAAAATCTGACTTAACATTGAGAATGGGAATCCCAAAATACTTCACCACCATTGGCTCTTTAACATATGCTACTTCCTAAAACATTTCAGTGTTGACAAACTCTTGTACAGTGACTGTCAATTCTTTTACCTTCTTTTAATGCTTCCTTGACCATTTAAAACTTTTCCCACAACATCTCTTAGTACCGTAACTCAATGCCTGAATTTTTCTGTCCTCTTAGCTTGAAAAATACTGAGTTTTTTCTCTTTTTATTTTCCAACTTCAGTCTTTGCACATTCCATTATACTATTTTGTTCTCTCTTCTCCCTTTGAAATCAGCTGCCCTTTGAAATCCTCTGCTCATTTTTTAATTTTTTCACATCTCTTTTACTTCGGCATCTCCTCACTTTTTATCTTGGCTTCTTTATGCTTGTGTGCAATTTTCAGAATCTCTTCTGACATCCATTTTGGTTTATTCTTTCTCTTCTGTCATCGTAATGACCTTTTACTCTTTTTTTTTTTTACCTTATGCTCGCTCTCTTCATGAATGGTATCTTCAGTGTCATCCCCAAATCCATCTAGCCTTTGCTCCTTAGAGATTAGTGCCTCAAATCTATTCCTGAGATAATTTTTAAATTCAAATAGGATAGACTCAAAGTTGTAGTTCGGTTCTTGGACTAGCTTTCATTTTCTTCAACTTCAATTTAAACTTGCACCTGAGTAATAGTGTTTCACAGTTAGAACCTGGCCTGATTTTTACTACTGCTACTGAGTTCTCCAGGGTGCTGTGCTGTAATCCCAAAGGTAGGCAGTTCAAATCTGCCCACTGTTTTGTGGGACAAAGATGAGCAATCACCTCCCTTGTGATTAAAACTGCCTCTGAAAACCTGCTAGACGACCAGCTACGGATCAGTTCCCACTCAATGATATACAACAACACCGAGTTCTCCAGGGATTCTTAATATAGAATTAGCCAATCTGATTCCTGTGAGTTCCATCTAGTGAAGTTCATGTGTATAGATACTGTCTTTCTTAAGAAAGGCGTGAGCCTTAGGGAATGTCAAGGATTAGGTTAAGCAACCTGGTAGAGAGTTTCTATTAATCTCAGAGGAGTGTAGGTAGTCCATCTGACAAGGGACAGTGTATATACCAGTCTATAGGACAGTATGATACAGTCAGAGTACAGAGAGATGGCTAGTACTAAGAGATAGCCAATGTTAACTATCATCTGAAATGCTCCAAGATGCACTCTGTAGAGGGTGAACTGCTCCAAAGGATATCTGAGGCAAGGGTGCCCAGTGAAAATCAAGGGAACTCTGCCCAAGGTAGTACCCCAACAAATCCAGAGTTGGCTGCAGGCCAATCAGTTCTAATCTGAGGGTTCCCATATGAGTTCTTGGATGCACAGCCGGAGTTACCCCCAGAGTCAAATACAAAATGGTGCCAATCTGGTCTCAGGCAAAGCTAGGAAGTGCTGAGGAATCCTGGATCAGGAGAGTCTATTCTCATGATCTCCAAGAGGGCATAGCAGACAAGAAAGGAATTCTCCATTTCTTGTCATTCACAAGCTGCTGGCATGGGTACACAGTCCTGGGTTCCCACGCTGACTAGACAACTATTCAAAATGATCATGCAGAGCCGTTTATGGTTCTATGCTCCATCTATTTCTTTGATATTTTATTCAATCAGTGTCTGAAGTACTTCTTTTTAAACTAAGGGTTGCAAAATTACCATCCATTTCTGCTACCTTTATTCACTTGTGTCTTCAGTGAAGATGATCTCCACTGCTGCCTGCCTAGTCCACCAAATTACCCAAAGTTGGCCATCTTTTCATAGAATACTTTAACTTGAAATAACCACTGACAATTAGTTTCTCAGTCTTGGAAATCTGGAAGACATTTTCTTGAAAAGTACCATTTGTCAGTTAACAAAAAACAATGGATAATATTTGCTGCCAAGGACAAAATTTGAGCTTTCAAGCGAAAAACTGGAATTCTGAAAAACCTGTATTCACAATCACAGTGATCTTTTTGAGTTATCTTTTATCTTTCTTTTGCAAATGTAAAACAAGTCTTTACACTAAATTTCTTCCTTTTTTTTTTAATTCTTAAATACTTTTAAAGTTCTCAGTTACAGGAACTATATACATAAAAGTTCTTTCAAACCCTTACTAATTTTTAAGAGGTCCTAAAACCACAGAGTGGTTGAGCGGCATCTTGCCACCATCCCTGACAAGCTCTCCTGTTAGGATCACAGGGACACTACCCAGAATCTCCCTGATCAAGCTGTCACGGGCAGCCCCTCTCTGAAGAACACAGCGCTCTGAAGCCTGAGGGTATTGCAAGCCACAAGGATCTTTCAAAAAGGACAGCCAAGTCTTGCACCTCTACCACCTATTCCTGAACATGAAGGAAAAGTTAGCTTTGGACTGATCCCTGAGGAATTCTTCCAGTTTCTTTATCCTAAAACAACTGTCCCTAAAACAGGTCCTTATATGCTTGGAACTGGGCTTATTCTGTATTTTCTGTCCAAAGAAATATGTGTGGCTACACCAGAAATCTTTTCTAGCATAGCAAAAGTCGGGTTGCTTGTCTATGCAGTTAAAAAATATTGTGCCTTTATTGGACAATTTGCTGATAAACTTAATGAGCAAAAAATTGCTCGACTATAAGAGGTAAAACAGACTTCTGAAATACATCCAAGATGTGAGTGATTTAGAAAAGGTACAGCAGGCACTAGCTCAGTAATGCCTTTACCTTTTTGATGTTCAAAGGAAGAACATCACTATGGCCTTGTAAGTTACATACCAGGAACAGCTGCACAGAGTGTACAAGGAGGCGAAGAATTGTCTGGACTACCATATCTCTGTGCAGAATATGATGCGAAGAAAGGAACAAGAACACATGATAAACTAGGTGGAGAATGTGGTGCAGAGCATCTATGCGCAACAGGAAAAGGAGACAACTGCCAAGTGTATTCAAGATCTAAAGCTGCTTGCAAAGGCTCAGGCACAGCCAGTTATGTAAATCTATGTATCCCATTGGACAGCTGTGAACAGTTGATTTAACTAAATGGAAAATTAGCTAGGTGACAAAAATCACTTTGTATTATATCGCTGTCTATTCAAGTTACAGTTTTAAGTAAAACTGAAGTATGAATTTGCTATATTGAGAGAATAAAGCACACTCATTGACCAATAAAATGGTTCTCTTTATTCTTGTTCCACGTTTTGAGTAGTTCTGTGATCACTTTGAATAAGCAGTGGTTTTAAATGAAGTTTTGATGCCTAACAAAAGATTATCAAGTTATAACTGGAATTTGTAGTTAACTTTAACATCTTGTAATAAAATGACAAAAAAGAAAAAGAAAAAAAGCCAAAACACCACAGAGTGTAAAAACTGCTCAGTTATGCACTCCATCCCAGATGGTGCTGGTACTTCCTATCATCCACCAGTGGGAAGACCAATGATTCCTTTTATTCATTAAGTTACTATCAACCTTTCTATTACTGCTGACCAAATAAGAGTATATTTTCAAGTGTTGAAAAACAGTGATTTTTCTATCGTTTCTTCTGTATTTTTTAGCTATAACTTTTTAATAAAGAAGACATTCTCTTATCAATTATTTAAATGCCTTGAAATACTATTCATAATAACTGACTGATTGAACATCTTTAATTAACGAGTTTGAGAATAGCAAGTATGTTTCCTAGGAATCTATAACAGTGAGCAATGAAACATTCTTTTTTGATCCACTGTAATCATGATGTCACTTGATGTTCAAGGTGTCCTGTCTTTAGCCAGTGGAAGCCATTTCCAGATCTGACTTCAGACACAATTCCAGCTGTCTTTGATAAAGTCCTTCCTTGAGAACTGATAAATTATTCTAGGCTCCCTACTCATAACTCCACCAGGAATATCTAATGACTCATTTTTTCAAATACTCTTATTTTTACAGCCCCCAAAACTCATGCCAAAAGTATCATTTTGATACTAAGGTGCTTCAAGTACCTGGCTGATTACAAATCATCATTCTTTATTACTTCATTTATTTTTCTTACCTGTACAAACTAGCTTTTTAATTCTTCCTTTTCTCCACTTGAGCAGATCTCCACCTTTACCACATCCCAGGTCCAAAACAATGATATCACGGTTTTTTTTCTGTCGCACCTTTTCTAAAAATTCTCCTTAAAAAAGGTAAATTAGTCATATTAAGCATCTGTTGCTCATACTTACCAAAACAGAAACTGTTAGCTTCAACAATCTTCTAACTACTTCAGCATGTTCATTTACAAAGTTAATTCAACAATCTTCTACCTTCTTCTGCATATTTATTTATAAAGTTAATTCATAACCTTTGGTACATGTTTCAAAATGCAACCAGAAGTAACTAACTTGATCACCTACCATTAGAGATTAGACTCTGTGATGCTGCTTTCAAAATTCAACATTAAATAGCATACAATTTAAAATTCTACTAAACAGAAGTAGGAGCTCTGGTAGTGCAGTCTTTAGGAAGTTGCACTGCTAAGCCTAAAGGTGGCACCTCTCTGGTGGTTCAGAACCACCGGAGGAAAATGAACTGTTTCCTCTTGAGTGATTTTTTGTTGCTATTATGTGCCTTACATCACTGCGGACTCAGAGCTGACCCTCTATAGAGGGTTTTCAAAGGCAATAAATCACACAGAAGAAGAATGTCCAGCTTTTTCCCACGAAGTAGCTGGTGAATTCGAACTACTTGTCTTGGGGTTGGCAGCACAAGTCCTTAAATAACAGGCAACCAGAACTCCCTGTGTGATTTACAACCTCTGAAAACCCACTGGAAAGTCAGCCATGAGTTGATTCTAACTCAATGGCAATAAGTTTCCAAGAATTTCAAAAAGCCAACATGTGTTCACAATGGAAAAAAAACCCCAAAACCAAAAAAGCCACTTACACATAATTACTTCTTAGCTGTTTCTAAAATTAATTTATTATACCTCTAAATTTGATATTCATCAAAGATACCAGGTACTATGCAGCACTAAGGACCAATAATTTTGTAAAATATTTAACACGAGAAAATCTAGAGAGCCTTATGCTGAATTAACTAACTCAGTCTCTTAAGGAAAAATACTTCATAAAATCATTATTTTTATTTGGATTAAAACTCCAAAAGGGAAAGGGAAGTGAGGCAGGGGGAACAAAGGATTAGGAGGGGAGAAAATAACCAGAATAACATAAGAGTTTGGTGATTGGAGAGGGGAGGTGTAAAGGAATTAGGAAAAATCCAATGGGGATGTGAAAAGATAGAGTAATAATAGGCATAGAGGAATGGTGATTAATTTTAGAAAACACAATGTATATGGATTATCATGTCAAACACAATGTGAATGTAGAAATGTGTGAAATGCTATGTACATGAATGATACACTATGCACATGAATTCTGTCTGCAAATAAATATAAAGTAAAAGGGGAAAAAAGAAATCAGGCTCAGGTCACTGTCAAAAGAAGTATAAAAACTAATTAAAAAAACAAACTAAAAAAAAAAACTATACCTTTTAAGCTTCCTCATAATCAAAATTCTTCAATATCCTGAAGTAAAAATAGAACCCTTTCAACTGATTACCAAATTACATTATTAACCAATAATTACATTATAAAAAGTTCACCACTGGGAATAAAGAAGTTTAAAAGAAATTACTTCTGGGGGGAGAACTTTTAAGAATTGAAGCTGAAAATGCCTTCAAAAAGAAAATTACCTGGTAGAATCAAATAATTTTCCCATTAAAATATAAACATTAAAAACAAAAATAGACCATACTAAAATATACTTGTAATGAACTACTATGAGATATCATCTCACCTGAGAAAGAACAGCAAAATTTAACAGAACAGCAAACATCAAATGCTGGGGAAATTGCGGAGAAACTGGAACCCTTATTCACTGCTGATGGGAATGTAAAATGGTGCAACGACTATGGAAGGCTGTACAGCACTTTCTCAAAAGGTTGCAAATAGAAATACCATTTGACCCAGCAACTCTACTACTGGGAATGTACCCTAAAGAAACCATAAGTGCCACCCAAGCAGAGATATGCACACCATGTTTACTGCGGCTTTGTTCACAATATAAAAGAGCTGAAAACAAAGCAAGTGCCCATCAGTACGAATTGAGGCCGAAACTCTGGTATATTCACACAATGGAATACTATACAGCATTGAAAAGCAAAGAATTCATGAATTATTATGCAAAATGGGTGACCCTGGAGGACATTATGCTGAGTGAAATATCTGTCACAAAAGAACAAATATTGCATAGGGCCACTGTTGTAAAACGGGACTGACATCGGGGTTGAGGGAAGACAGAGGAGGAGGAGAGGAATGATGTACACTGCATTGAAACAGATGAAGGAGAGAACTGTTTAAAAGGGATACATGACTGGGTATTATTGTCATGACATGAGTCCAGAATGAAGACTACACAGTGGAGTGGACTTGGGTGGAAGGATTGCATAACAATGAAAGAGTTTTTCTTTTACTTTTCAAGAAGAGTAAACTGGGGGGTGGGGTGGGGGTGGACAGGGAGAAAAGTGTAACAATGAATGACTGGAAACCCTAAGTTTCTGTAAAAGTTCATTAAAATTAGTAAAAAAAAAAATTATATATATCCCACTCTCTACACTTCTAAGAATGGATAACAAAAATGGAGCCAGTAAAAGCTAGTTGATGATGAGATGTTTCCACCTCAGGACAACCTCATGTGTCCAGAGTTTCCTATACTCCAATCTGGCTTTCAAAACATGCTATTTACAGAAACAGATTGTTAGTGTTACGCGTCATCGAGTCGCTTGCAACTCATGGCAAACCAATGTATAACAGCTCTAAATTCTGCTCTACCCTGTGCCAATCTTACTGCCTCTGACATACCTAGCCCCATTACTCCAGTCACTCAGCCAATCCATTTCATCCATGGTCTACCTCTCTTGCGCTGTCCCTCCACCCTCGAGGTTCCTCTCCAAGGACTTGTTCCTCCTTGCAATATGGCCAAAGTATGACAGAAAAAGCTTCAGATTCCTTGCCTCCAAGGAGCAGCCTAGATTAACCCTCTCTATGATGAACCTGGGAAGTTCTCCTTGCCAGAAGGAGCATGGTGGTATAAGTGCAGGAATCATGGCAAGCTTTTGGAGTCGATTGCTTTTCTGGGCATGTGCTTGTTATGTGCAGGTTTGCTCTGTCCCCGAGAGCGAGGCTAGCCAGCCTGGGCCTAGGGTTTGAACCAGGAGGCAGCCTTAAGCCAAAAGGGCCCTCAGCCAAGTTCAAATTATTTTCCTGTCAAACGTTCTTCTAGGTGGTACAGCACTGGTCTGTGCATTGCTGTACAGAGGTAACTCGTGGTTGCTGTGATGCTGAAGCCTGTGACAGAGACGTGCCAATCGTGATAATGGGTACCCACGGTGGACAGTGTTGGCTGGAGCTTCCCGACTAAATCAAGCCTGGAAGCAGGAGCAGCATCCACTTCCGAAATGGCTTGCCTCCTGAAACTTAGTACAAACAGTGCTCAGGCTGTTCGTTCATAGGGTCGCTATGAGTCATCTACGATTCGACGGCACCAAACAACAACAACAACATGATGAACCTGTTTGCTCTCCTAGCAATCCATGGCATATTTAATACTCTTCTCCCATACTACAGTGCAAAAGCATCAATTCTCCTTCTATCATCCCTAGTCATTGTCCAGCTTTCTGATGCGTAGCAAGTAACTACAAAGAACATGGCCTGTATCACATGCAATTTTGTCTCCAGACTGACGGCATTGCTCTTCAGTACTGTGGGGATGTCCCTGACAGCAGACTTTCCCAATATAATTTGTCTTTTGATATCCTGCTGCTGGTACCAAGAGTGTTGATTGTGGTAAGAGTCAAGCAAACTAAAGCTGTTAACACTCTCAATCTCTTCACCATCTATCATGATGCTGCCAATTGGCACAGTGGTGAAAATCTTTGTTTTCTTGATGTTGAGCTTCAATTCATATTTAAGGATACAGTCCTTAATCATCTTCGTCTTTGGCAAGCACTTCAGATCCTCCTCAGTTTCAGCAAGCAGGGTTGTGTCAACTGCATAATGCAGGTTGTTGATGAATCTTCCTCCAATCCTGATGCCACATTCCACCTCATAGAGCCCAGCCTCCCAAATGACCTGTTCTGCATACAGGCTGAAAAGATAAGAAGATACGAGACATTTCTGGTGTAAACCCTTCCCAATTTAAAACCATGTAGTGTTTCCTTGCCCTGTTCTGACAACTGTCTCCTGATTCAAGTACAGTTTAGCATAAGCACAATCAAGTGTTCTGGGATTCCCATTCTTCTTAGAGTTAGCCACAGTTTGTGTGATCCTCACAGTCAAATGCCTTTGAATAGTCAATGAAACACAGACATTCCTCTGGTACTCTCTGCTTTCAGCCAAGATCCATCTAACATTAGCTCTACTATTTCTAGTACCAGAGACTCTTCTAAACCCAGCCTGCACGTCCAGAAGTTCTCCAATGTGCTGCTTCAGTCGTTTTTGAATAATTTTTAGTAGAATCTTGTTTGTATGTGGTATTAATGATGTTGTTTGGTAATTTCCACACTCTTGTCTAGTCACCTTTCTTTGGAATGGGAACAAATATGGATCTCTTCCAGACAGTTGGCCAGGTAGTTGTCCTCCAGATTTCTTGACACAACGTGGTAAGCGCATCCAGGACAGCATCTGTTTGTTGAAATACGTCAATTGGTATGCCGTCAATTCCTGGGGACTTGTTTTTTGCCAATTCTTTCAGAGGAGCTTGAACTTCTTCCTTCAGCACCACAGGCTCTTGCTCATATGTTGTTTCATGAAATTCTACGTCAGAAAACTCCTTTCGGTACAGTGATTCTGAATACTCCTTCCATCTTTTTAATGATTCCTGGATCATTTAATACTCTGCTCAATGCTCCCTTAAGTATTGCAACTCAAGGCTTAAATTTCTTCCATCAGTTCCTTCAGCTTAAGGAATGCCAAACTAGTTCAGCCCTTTTGATTTTCTGACTCCAGCTCTTTGCACATTTCATACTTTGCTTTGTCTTCCCGAGCTGTCTTTTGAAATCTTCTGTTCAGCTCTTTAATGTCTTGATGTCTTCCCTGTGCTTTGGCTTCTCAGTGCTCTACTGTAGTATTTTGAGTCTCATCTGACATCCATCTTGGTCATTCTTCTTCCTCTGCCTTTGTCCTTTATTCCAAGGAGTCACATACATAAACCCAAACCTCCAACTTCCCATTAGATGTCAAATACTTGAACAACTTGCACCACCCAAGGACTCCTTGTTAAGGAATCTCCAGGGGTTGATTGTTTAAAAAAAAAAACTAAACAAAAAAAAAGAGCATGCTAATACCCTTTTTCCTGGAATATTGTTGACTTGAGTAAGAAGCTGTGCTGCCAACCAAAAGTCAGGGGGTTCAAATCCATGGAAGAAAGATGGGCAATCTCCTCCTATGCAATTTACAGCCTCTAAAAACTTACTGGAAAGTTAGCAGCTATGAGTCATTTCCAACACAATAACAGTAAGAATAATGTAACCTGAACATGTAATCCAACTTAATAAAGATTCTGCCATTACTCCAAAACTGTTAAGAGTGAGATAGGATTAAGACTAGAGGAGTGAAAGTACTCAGCTGCAAGCTGACAGTTCAAATTCAACAAGCCTCTGCTTGGGAGAAAGATGAGGCAGACTCTTCCTATAAGTCAGGATCTATTCAATGACAGTAGGATGAAATTAAGTAGCTACTCTAGTCTATGTATTTACATCAATCAGTACTTGTTAAGGAATTTGTGGTGGTCTAAACTATGAGGAGTTATACTGCTACCCCAATGGAGGCACTCCTGAAGCAGTTCAAATTCTCCAGTGGCTCCTCAGGAAAAAGAAAGCAATCTCCTCTCACACAATCTACAGTCTCAAAAACTCAGGAGAAAATCGACTAAGATTATTAATTGCTATACTGTATGATATGGGAACAATGAGTTTTAAAAATATTGAATACCCTACATAGTCAACCAAAAGAATTTTCCTAGAAGACCCCAACTTGATGTTAAAATTTGATAATAAATGCTTGGAGATTGGTTAATTATTTAGAAGAGGAAAACTGAGACATTAGTTATACAATAAAACATTGCATTTCTACAGCAAAAATAAATCATACCAATAAGGACACTTTTCATCCAATTATTAAAGTTTCTTAAGTAAAAAATACGACTTTGGCTACGCTTCTCCAAACCAACTTCCTGAAGTTCATTGTAGTGGGCAGCCACTGTTGAGCCGTGCCCCTCTTCTAAGCTCTGAAAGTAAAAAAGTAGAACAAAATTAAGAAGCAGGATATACATAGACCTAAAGGTATCTGGTCTACATAACCAACAAAATACCTGGTAAATTAATAAAATTCATTAAGTAGCTACATTAACCATAGAAATCCTTCTAATTTTAATTAGAACTTATCTCCCATTTCCTAATTTTGAAAATATCTCTAGATTTAATATTTTCATCTTCATCTTTTTATCTGTGAAATGTTAGTATTTATAAAACCAATACTTTTCCAAATGTGAAACAGTATGAATGGCAGAATGCATGAAACACCATGTATATTAACGAAACACTTTTGTATGTAAACCAATATAAAAGTTTTTTTAAAAATAAACAAAACAAAAAAACCCAATACTTTTCCAGAGTTTTAACTGAGTCAATAGACAACCTAGGGATAGAGTTCTAACATGAAGATAAAGTAATAATTATACCTATATATTTATTACGTAATTAGAAAAGTGTTTTGAGGAGTAGACAATAATTCCTGTAAAATAGTTACAGCTCAACAGGTTACGTTCAACATCAATGCTTTCCATTATTATTTGCTATGAATGTAAATCAACAGCTTTCAATCTGTTCTCCTTGAGGTCTAAGTAGTCTGTAGTGATACCATGGTAGGAAAATGACTTCAACTCCCTCACATATCCCTTTTCAACCAGTGCTTCATCTTTTACCTATTCTATTTAGCAGGTTTGAGTGTAAGGTTATAACCTGAAAATAGGACTAGTGATAGTTCTGAAGTAGTAAAAATTTGGAAATAATGCCCACTACAGGGATTTATCCCCCAACAATGACAAATGTCTAGCCTATCTGCCACTTTCTGCTTCAAGGTTAATGGCAGAATTTTACTCCTTAATATTTCTCTTTCTCTCTAAATACAGATTCTGCTTCAGATTCCTTTGCAATGTTGTTTTTCCAGACTTGCTATCTTTTGTTTTGTAACAGTACCAGGATAGATATCTAGCTTATTATGAGGAGTTTATACCTATTTACCTAAAATTGTGATAAAACACGCTCATTAAAGTTAGAAACAGTTCTTCAAGCAACTATATTAACAAAGAAACACAAAGTTGGGTGGTGTGATTTTTAAAATTTATCACTTTAAGTAATGAATCTCTATTTAAAAACAAAAGAGATGAGCATCAAATATAAAAAGTACCATCTGAACTGTAAATAAACACTAAATAAAATAAAACACTAAAAAAAGCAAACTATTAAAACTGACTTGCAAATTTCTAGTCAAATAAGTAAGATAAAATTAAGTCCTTAGCAAAAGAAATTTCACCTTATAACACTCAACTGTGTTAAGTCTACATCAGAACCACATCTTATTATAAAAAGAATATGCTTAAATTATTCAGATTATGTTTTCAAAAACCACTAGAGAAAGCAGTATTACTCACAGGTAGGTCACATTTCAATTTGACATACTACATTATTAATAAAAGAAAATGAGTCAACATACTTTTTGTTGTTCAGGAATATCCTCAAGTTCTCTTTTTCTCTTTTTATGAGCAACATCTCCAGTGGAACAAGCACCTGTTGAGGTATCATCATCTTCTATTTCCCTTTTTGAAACAGCATTATCATTTCCAAAATCTTTTTCCTCTGGGACAATTTTTACATCAAGTGTTCTTTTTTTGAATGAAGTGTCTTCCCCATAGTTAGAATCTTCCTTTGTAAGATCATCTTCAAACTCCATTTTTCTTTTTGTCAGTGTGCCTACCTGCTCCTTTTCAGATGACCCAGACCCAGGAACAGTTGTGTTTACATTAATATTGAATGAAGACTCTATTTCAGAACATACTGATGCTTTTGCTTCTTCAAAAGAAAAATTTTTACAATCCTCTGCTCGTGCAAAATTATCCATTTTTTATTACTGATGATAAAATTCCATAAACCAACATTGACTGGAATGGCAAAAATACAGTATTTATAAATAGTGCTGACACATTTTAACTGCTATGATCAACCAAGACTTAAATGTCACATAGTAGAAAAAACACTGGAAAAAATATCACATACATTATATATGAATATAGCTATAATGTTATCTACAAGTAACTACTGGCCCCTAAGCCTGGCAAATTATATGGTAACAAACAAATTCTAGCTCCATTTCTATTCTGATTTTTAAATTACTCTGTAGTCTCAGTTTGCATATTGAGGTCCCCTGGGGCACAACAAACTCATTCAGCATACTACTGCATTTTGTGACATCAGCAGACATCACAGAAACTATTAGCTACTAGATTCTGGAGGGTCACGGTATATTGTGGAGAGGCAGTACACTCCTTTAAAGACATTATACCTTTATGAAGCTGGCATTTTGAGACTATCACAAAAAAAGCAACATGAAGCAGGAAATGAAAACGGCTTGCTAGATACCAAGGCTTGAGAAGCTGTAGTGATTTAAAAACTATATACAAACAGAATTTTTAAATGCCAATATATGTAGTTGGATTTTTTTTTAAGCTCATGAGGGTGTCAGAATATAAATACATTTTAAATTCTTCGGCTTGAATTTCATAATAAATGGAACCCCACGTACTCCTTTTGACTGCAAAAATCAAACCAGACATATTAACATCATCATGATCAGGAAAAAGGTTGGGAACCTAGAGCAAGGATTTCTTAAAACTTTAATTTTGTAACAGGCATTGAAATTAAATAGAAAGTATAGTAGAAATTTACCAATTTTCTATGGACAAGATTCAGCATTATAGATTAATGACAATTATATTTCCTTAACATTTTCTTAGTGTAAAATGGGAAACCTCCTTGTCAGGCAAGCCAATTCTGACTCATAGCAACCCTACAGAGGACACTGAAAGAAGTCTCTACAAAGTTTCCAAGGCTGTAAACCAAACAGAAGCAGATGCTACATCTTTCTCCAGGAGAACTGCTGACCTTTTTATTTAAAAGTACATATGTAGTATCTTTTGTAAAACGAGAAGGAATTGAATAGGAATTCTTTCAGTGTTCACTTATTCACTCATTACCAAATTTACTCAAGTCATCCTACAGAAGAGTCCAAAGAAGCACTGTGTGAAGTATCAATTCAAGAAACTTATCCTCCAAGGATGGCAAAGCTTCATCTCACAAATTCTGGGCATGTTGTTAGAAGGAGTTATTTCTTGGAAAGGGACATCATGCTCAGAAAAAGTCAAGAGTCAGCAAAAGAAAAGAAGACCCTCAACTGAAGGACTGAAATAGTGCCAGAGGCAATAATGGACTATGCCAGAGTTGATTAGGATGGCACAGGACAGAGCTCAGAGCTGTTGTTCATAGGGTCGCTGTGAGTCCTACTCAAACGACACACAACTGAAGGGGCAGCAGAAACCCCATTTTTTTATAAACCCCCATTAGCGCTGAAGGCAGAAGCGGGCCATAAAAATTCTTGGCTTAGGGCAAATACGAGTGGCCCAGGTAAAACCCAGTCTGTCCTTGAAAAAGTAAGGAATTAACTAGTGTCTATGTGACACAAAAAGAGTAAAGGCGGGCAAAGTAACCAGCCAGCCCATCAAAAGCCGGCCAAATGAGTGACCCCCTAGCCCGCCAATCTCTTTGCCTTAGCAGGGGCACCCAAGAAAAAGCTATAAAAGCAAGTGGGAGGGAAAACTCGAGGCTTTTTCCCTTCACCACCTTTCTGAGGAAGGTGAAAGAGCCTCCACGGGTGGAAAAATTAAACAATAAACGCTCTTGAAACTTCAGATGTGTTTCTGGATTTCTTTGAGGGGCATTTCGTGGGCACAACAACAACACATTAATAACTTCTCAATCCAACACAAAATCTTATTTGAGAAACAAAATCATAAGATGAAAACTGTTAGTGATGGGATGCTTATCAGATAGAAAATAATCACTCTGGTAATCCATATTATATATAAAATGAAGCAGCTAAAATTTTTAGGATAATTAATTAGAACAGCAAAGTACTGAAGAGCAATGGTGTCTCTTTGGAGGCCAAGGTGCATCTGATACAGGTCATGGTCTTTGCTATCACTTGTTATGCATCACAGAGTTGGACAATGACTAAGAAGGATAGAAGGAGAATTGATGCCTTTGAGCTGTGGTGCTGGAGAAGAGTATTGAGGGTACCATGGACTGCTAGGAAAACAAACAGATTCAACCTGGAAAGGGTCAAACCAGGCTGCTCCTTGGAGGCAAGGATTCTGAGGCTTTGTCTAACATACTTTGGACATGTTGCAAGGAGGGACAGGTCCTTGGAGAAGGACATCATGCTTAGTAGGGTGGAGGGACAGCGCAGAAGGGGAAGGCCTCCCTATGAGGTGGATTGATTCAGTGATTGGGGTAATCGAGTTGGGTGTGTCAGAGCCGGTGCGATTGGCACAAGACAGAGCAGAGTTTAGGGCTGTTGTACATTGGGTCACTATGAGTCGCAAGCGACTCGATGGCACGTAACAACAACAATTGCATTCAATTATTTTTCTGTGAAAAATTTCATATGAACTTAAATCACATCCATTTTACTTTTCTAGAACAAGGTAGCATTGTTGGCAAAGGTGGAGAGCCAGAAAGAGAGACAAGGATCATCAAGGATACAGTGACTCTTAACAACAGGCTTGAGTACATATAAGATGAGGATGATGCAGGTTAGGATAAGGTTCAGACCTGTTGTTCATAGGATCCCTAGGAGTTCAAGTCAATTCCATGGCATGTAACAACAGATTAACTAAATGATATGAAAAGATTCTGCTATTCTGAATGGATTTTAGTTCAAAAGTATGTTACTAAATTTGGGAGCTCTGGGCACACAGCTCAAATCCACCAGGTGCTCCATGGGGAAAAAACGGGCAATCTCCTCTTTTGTGATTTACTGCCTCTGAAAACCTGCCAGAGAGTCAGCTATGGATTGATTCTAACTTGACAGTACACAAAAGTATGTTACTGAATTTTAATGTGACAAGGAAAATAATTTACCTATCTAGATTATTAAAGTGTTACAAGTAGACATGCACTTCAAATTAAGGTGATCATTTCTAATTTCACACCACACACACAGTCTTACACCTTTGAAAAATACAGTTTTAGGGAGCTCTGGTGGCCTAGTGGCAAGAAGCTGCACTGCAATCCCAGAGGTACAAGGCTGGAATTCACCAGATACTCTGGTAGAGAAGGAGGGACAATTTCCTCCTGTACCAGTCAGATCTGATTTGACGGTACACACACAAAAAATAATAAAAAAGAAAAACAACTTTAAAAAAAAAGAAAAATATAATTTTGAGGACTACTACAAGAGATTTTTGCTAATTATAAAAATGACTAACAATTTGTGGAAAATAATGTATATAATTTTTTTAGTAAACCAGTAAAATATAAAAAATTATTTTAAAAAAAAGACTAAAATTTAAATTTAAAAATTAAGCATATAGTTTAGTTGCTCAAACTAAAGTTGCTCCAGAACTTTTGGAATTTGTTCATGAATTTTTAATTAAAAATCATCTTTCAAAGAAAAACCCTATTGAGAACAACAGCAAGGTCAAAAGATTAGGGAAAATCCGCAAATTCAGATCAAGCATACAGAACCTGAAAGATATGGAGAGAAATAAAAACCATCTTTTGAATAAATAATTTTTTTAAAAAATAGGTTAGAGAAATAAAGTTTCTTCAAAAGGACGGAGGGGGAAAAATCGCTATGATCTAGGTTAGAAAAGGGCTTCAAAGGAAATTTGATATAGCAAATGTAAATACTAAGCATTACAATACTAGCTGAAAGACTGACAGTTCAAGCCCAGCAGGATAACTTGGAAAACAGCATGGTGGTCCTCTGGAAGGTCAAAACCTAGACAACAATAGAAGTACCATTCTCTTCTGATACAGATGGGCCCAGCATGGGTTGGAATCCACTCAAAGGGAACTAACAAAAACCTACTGTCTGCAAAAGTAAAATATCCAGGTGCCAAAGTATAGGAAGCTAACTCACAGAAGGGAAAAAAATGAAGAAAAAAAAAAACCCACCCTTTTATTATTTAAAATAATTATCTAATCCAACTGATAGCAATTAGTGAATGAGTACAAATTATCAAATTTCTATCTTCTCTTCTACTAACTTCCTTAAAAAGAATCAGAATTCATGCCCAGCTACATCTTTCTCCAGAAGAGAAACTAACTTTTCCTTTTGATTAAAGGCTGACCCACTACACCACCAGGCCACCACAGCTCCTTAATTCAAACATATCCAACTGAAACATCTTATTTAGGTGAAACTGTAAATACCTCCAAGCATTAACATTGATATTTAAATACCAACTATACATAACCAACTACATAACCAACTCATACAGGGAGCTCTAGTGGTCTAGAGGGTAAGGAACAGTCCCAATTCACTAGCTGCTCGGTGGGATCAGCAATCTCCTCTCCTGTGTATTCAGTCTCCGAAAATGCTCCGGAGGCTCAGCTATGAGTCGGTTCCGAACGGATGGCAGATAATTTACACATGTGTCACAAAACGATAACCAATTTAGTTGGAATAAAGGACTAACACTCCAAACAACCACAAGAATAGATAAGGGCACCAATTATAATCATGAGCAGACTCCAAAGAAAGAGTGCTCTCTCTTTCCAAAATCTTTGTAAATAAGTCAACTGACTAGAATGTGCAATAAATCTACAGATTTAAAACAGACTTTCCAGCAACTCCTTCGAGATAAGCCATGCTGTGTCACCATATCTGCCGCTCTGTGAACGTCTACAGAGATGATCCAGGCCCAAGGGGCTTAAGTCCGAATTTGACAGCTGAAGGGAATGAGCTCAGGAGGCCCAAGAGCATGCAGTATAGAAAGGAACTTTTCAGCCAAGGGAATCCATCATTCCCTGCAGTCATTCGAGCAGTTTAAACAACAAACT